TCTTTCTTTCTTTCTTTCTTTCTTTCTTTCTTTCTTTCTTTCTTTCTTTCTTTCTTTCTTTCTTTCTTTCGCACAAATGGATTGTATGGCACACAGTGTTTTTGCTTGCCTTTCTCAATTACCATGTCAACTCTGTCTTTTCAGCATACCAGCACAGATCGACCTCAATCTTGTGGATCTGCTCTATATTCTATTACATAGATGCACCATAATTTACACAAATAGTTCTCTACAACACTTCCTTGATTGTGATTGTTTTAAATATGCAGCACATTTCAGGTGATTTATTCTTTTTGGGAAGATCAGTTTAAGTTCTCCCTTGAGATGACTAAAATTTTTGACATTTTGCAATCGTGATATTTATAATTTGAAGAAACCCAAATTTTCTCCTATTAAGTCATTTTCTTTATCCTAATCCTTTAATCTTATTTGTTCTTCATTATTATTATCTTTGGAAATCCAAATCTTTGATCATATTTCATAAACTAGCAAGCCAAATTCGAGTTCAGGGGAACTGGGCTTGTGACGAAGCAAAGTATAAATGGCCTTTGACAGTGAAGTTCTAGCTCATGTTAAAGTCACCTCTAAAATAAGTATCTGCGTCGATGGGAAAATACAATTTAATTTGCCAAGAATCCTAGCAAATGTACGTTTTAAGAGCCATGGAAGGAAAACTGGGACCTTTAATAGCCTTTTATGGTATCAGATGATGCTGTTGGTGGTGACAACAAAGAGTGACCATGTCTAGGTTCTCAGAGGTAATCATCTGCTGTAAGGAAAAAAAATTGGATGGTGTGTAATCAGGGAATTAAAATTTTCTGATAGGTTGGGAAATTTATGCTAAGAAAAAAGGAAAATGATATATAAAAAGGTTATTTGAAGTGTCATGGGATTGTCACTCCTGTTGGTCAGGAAAAGGTCTGATCTTTCCCTCCTTCTGCTTTGTACTTCTAGAGGAAGAACTTCTATAAACATTCAAAAATCTTAAGATAATAACAGGTTTCAGGTTTTCAAATACATTACTTAATGTAAACAATATATCCACGAATTATAACATGCAGAAAGATATTCTCTAAGCTTAAGAATGTCAGACTTTCTAAATTGACTTCTTATTTTGGCATCTAAAGTTGTGTCTTGCACGTGCAGATACTTAAAAGGTATATGAACCTTAATTTGATTTTACTCTCGTGGGTCTTGGGGCCAGGACTGACACTTTGCTGGAATCAAGCAGGACCATCTCATCAGTCTGAGTTCTCCTGAGAGCTAGAGAGAATATTGTTTGAGAACTAGCTCACTTGAAGATGACCACAAGAAACTTTCAGGTTCACAGTGTGAATGTGCATTTCCTCTCAAGAGTTTCTCTTGCTTTCTTTTCTGAAAAATGTTTTGTGGTTTCTGGTACCCATTTCAGACACTGAAAATGATAGTGCAGAGAAAATAAATACTATAGTTTAAAAAATAAAATAAAAACCCATAACATTGGTTTTTTCCATGGTGTTTAATATGAGAATCTCTCACTCATTTCTTAAAAGCAAAAGTAAATCTGTGTTAAATTATAGGTTTTCAAAAGCGTAAAGTTCTTTCAAATATTATTTAGTGCACTGTCCGAGAAAATTCTTGAATCCTCTTGAACTACTACAATACTCTATTTCCACTGAACTTCTGGGCAATGTCCTCTCAGAACAGGGCTGAGTGTAAAGGGTTGGATACTCTTCAAAAGACCCAGAACTAGAACCACCCATTGCTCCAGAGATGGTGAGGCTGGATGTCAGGGTACTAGACTCAAATGCAGTTGTTGGGAGGAAATGCAGGCTGGCAGGCAGCAGCTGGACTCTAACAGTTACGGAAACCTCTAATAAGTACAGAGTGATCATCGGTATCTGGGAGCTCTGTGACGGGAGGAGCACAGTGGTGGCCACCCCACGAGGTGCTGGTTGGAGACACAAACTGACAGGGTAATGGGCGAGGATGCAGCTCAGTCAGCAATGAGTTTCAGGGGCAGGGCTGTAAACTGCGTACCCTGATCTGTGAAGCCCCTAAACCTGACCTGCCACCCACAGCTCTGCCCTCGCGATGCACCACCTTCCTCCTTCCCCTCAATGCTCCTATCACTCTGGCTGTCTTTCTAACCACAGAATACCAAGCTTCTTTACACCCAGAGCCTTTGTCATTGCAGTTTCTGCTTAAATGTCCTCTCCTCACAAAAGCTTTCTTAGGACAGCCTGTTCCATATGATTTCATTTTTATTATCTGCATAACCTTGCGGACTTTCCCCTTCATTACCCATATCCTCTCCACTAGAACAGAAGCTCAGTGAAGGCAGGGTATCTGTTAGTCTTGTTCCTCATTGTCTCCAATAATACCAATTATAGGTACCTAGCATAGCCTGGGTTCTTATTAAACATTTAAATGAATGACTGAAAGAAAAATGAACTAATTAATAAATTGATTAACAAATGAATTACTCTAGTTGATATAGTAACTAAAACTAGTTGAAACCAAATCCTTGACAGGGGCTAGGAAGAAAATGAAGGCTGTCACCAGACGCAAAAGTCTTAATAAATGAAGGGAATGAAAACAGATAGTGGGACTGAGGTGGCGAAGGAGGTCATGCTGAACAGCTTGAGCCTTGATGGAGAATAAACTGTTAGAAGTAGTGGGAAAAGCCCAGGTTTAGATGTAGCAAAGGGAGAAAGCCAGCCCTCACTTACTGAGGAATGTGGAGAATACATCAGTCTCAATCAAGAGAATGGAAGGTACATTTTAGTTAGGTTACAATTAAGGGAGATTTGGATAAAGCCATCTGCATAAAGGTTGTGGATACAGTGGGATTTGTTCACGATGGTATGTGGAAAGTGTGGAAGTGGGGGCAACATCTCAGAGGAGTAGGATGGAGGTGAAGAAGAGTCCAGCAGTAAGAGGAGAGTCACCCAAGGGATAAGGGAAGGAAGATTTTTTTGCAAGTGTAGGATTATAGAGATGGTAGTCACAGCAGAAGTGATTTGCCTAACATATGCAACTTTGATGCAAGTTTACAGGGTGGTACCTAGTCTAATATTAGAGAATAGGGCCTCCATTGTCCTGCATGACAAAAAGGACCGTGATCTGGGGACAGCTTCTCAACACTCACACAGTGAGAACAGCTGTTCATCACAACATTATTGAAATTGTGGTTTTGTGCCAGGCACTGGTGGTGGGAGGTTAGAAGTCAGGTTGGACTGAAAAAAGAATAGTATGTTTCTTGCCCCTTTTCTAACAATTCACTTGGTTCTGTAGGCTGCTTATTCTTCCCAGATAAACAAGGCAAGCCTAGTGGCTGGGCTCGAGTAGCGACCAGTTCACTGTGACCTGCTCACCCAGACTCCATATCCAGATACCCTCGTGAAAGTGAAATGGACAGCTGCAGGCACACCAGTTCTCTTAAGGCAGGGCAGGATCACTGAGTCACTGAAAACAATCCTTGGTCTAAAATCGAGTATTCATTTGGATTCTTAAATTATGTACAATACAGTTATTTATTGTCTGTTTCCAAATCTGCAGTGTAAGAGGTGATCCCTCACACTGAGCATTCGTTAATAGGCACATCTTGTGTATAAAAGTGCTTTGCAGATAGATGCTACTTAATTTACTCGTCTCAACAGTCTTCAAAAGTGAGCACTACTACCCTGCTTTTACAAGTGAGGATGCTGAGTCTTAGAGGGGCTGACTTCTTAAACACACACACACACACACACACACACACACACACACTAAAACATGCGCAATGCACCTGACTTCAAAACCCACGTTCTTTCAAGTACACCTCACTTCACTCTAGAGCCACCCAGAGTAAGTCTCGGTTTCACAGAAGTGGTTAAGTTACAGTTTGTGTCAGGGGAAGGCTTCTTTTAGAAACTGAAAGTGGAGGAAACAACGTTTTAGCTAGTTGTAGCTGCAGTTTGAATTTTTTTTGGTTCAGATGGTGTTTTTTGAACAATCATGTGCCCCTCTCCTCTGCTGATCAACTTGGTGGTCACTGAGTAAAAATTTGACACTATTACAGGTAAGGACGATGTTAGGACTTACCTGGAAAAAGAAAGAGAGAGGCAGAAAATATAATATACCCAGGCTAATGTCCTGGGGGAGATCAGACAGGACAGAATAGTGGTAGTTCTGTTCAGAAGGGGGACAGGAAAGGGACAGAACTTCATGGACCTACTAGAACTTGAGCATGGCTTTGTTGCGGTTTAGTTTATGAAAGAGAAACTGGAAATTTGTCCTGGAATCATATGTCCTGTAAATGATTAAGGTTTTTTTTTTTTTTTTTTTTTTTTTTTTGCTAATTGTTTGGTCTGACTGGGAGTTGGGTTTAGGAACCAGAGTGGCTGCAACAGATGAAAAGCTGGTGTTTTCTGCAGTTTGCCCTAGTGAGAAGTATTATTTCCATCTGATGATTACACAGAGTCATTAAGGGCAAGGAAAGTCCCTGGGTTCCTTGTCAGCTGGGAGGAAACAAGATTACAGTGGAATGGGGCCTATCCTTTGTCTGAGTTCCTGAACTGAGGAATTAGGGGGCACCAGTGCATCTGCCTCCGAAAAGGGGGAGGGTCGGCCACAGGGGATGTCGATGGTATGTGCGCTCTGGTCTGCCACTGCTAGTTTGGTCGAAACAAGAAAGCGAAAGCTCACGAAGCCCGGAGAAGCCCTCCTTCTTTTTCGTAAGCTGCTGCTTAGCAGAGCATGATAGACCTGACCCTAGACCCTGCAGATGATTCGAGGAGCTGGGCAGCGAAAAGGCAGAAGCATCCGGGCCTGTCCACGGCTCCTTGGGCTGGGAGACCCATGGAGAAGTTTCGGGCGGTGCTGGACCTCCACCTCAAGCATCACAGCACGCTGGGCTACTGCCTGGTGACCCTGCTGACGGCGGGCTGCGAGCGCATCTTCTCCACCGCGGTGTTCCAGTGCCCGTGCAGCGCTACCTGGAACCTGCCCTACGGCCTGGTCTTCCTGCTGGTGCCGGCGCTGGCGCTCTTCCTCCTGAGCTACGTGCTGAGCTCGCGCACCTGGCGCCTGCTGACCGGCTGCTGCGCGCCGGGCGCCCGC